TCGACAATGAAATTTCGGTCGTCCACTCGTCTGATAATTCGGTGGGGTCCAAAGTAGGGTGGTTCCAATGGCTTCCTGACGGCGTTGATTCGTATGAAGACGTGTGAGCAGGTATAGAGATCCTTCAGGATGAAGCATCTGCTCTTGACGTGGTGAGCCGTGGGGGTTGGGCGCACTCTGCGGATGTGCTCCCTGAACTTCTCCAGGAAGAAGTTTGGCTCTGCTGGCATGTCTGCGGTGATTAAAAATTCACCTGGAATCCTGAGCTCGGTGCCGTACAGGAGTTGAGCTGGAGAGGTATTAAGGTCCTCCTTAATGCAGGTCCGCAGGCCGAGCATGACAGTCGGCAGCAGTTCTGGCCATGGTGTAGGGGCGTTGCACATAAGTGCAGCTTTGACTGTTCGATGCCATCTCTCCAGTATCCTATTTGATTGAGGATGATACGGAGAGGTGTGGATCTTGTTGGCTCCTATCATCCGGGCGAGAGCTGTGAATAGTCTGGACTCGAACTGGCTTCCCTGGTCTGTGGTGATGGTCAGCGGAGTGCCGAACTGCGTGACCCAATGTGCGTAGAAGGCTGTGGCGATCGTGTCAGCCTCGATGTTGGAGAGTGGGACTGCCACGGGCCATCTGGTGAACCTGTCGATGATGGTCAGACAGTAACGCAGTCCGTTCACTCGAGGAAGCTCGATTATGTCAAGGTGAACGTGGTCGAAACGATTGTCGGGCACGTCGATGTGGATAGGGTTCAGTCGATTGTGCTTCTGAAACTTGGAGCGTTGGCAGAGGAGGCACTCGCGAGCCCAGCGAATGGCGTCGCGTTTGATGCCAGGGCACACAAATTTTTCTTTGCGGTATCGTGCGGTAACTCGACCGGAGGGGTGCGATAGGCTATGCACGACCTCGAAGGCTTGCCGACGAAGAACCTCTGGTATAAAGGGGCGAAATCGTTCAGTTGAAATGTTGCAGTAGATTTCGAACCCTTCGACCATCAGAGGTTGGAGTTTCAGCGAGTTGCTGGAGTTGCTGATGAGTCGTGCCAGCTCCTGGTCGTCCTGCTGAGCCTCGGAGATGGTGTCAGCGCCAAGGCCTTGGAGCATGTCGATGGTGCACACTCGGGACAGAGCATCAGCGACGATGTTATCTTCAGCCTTCACGTGCATGATGCTGGTCATGAATTAGGAGATGAAGCTCAGTTGATTGGCCTGCCTGTGTGATGCCTTCTCAGGTCGCTGGTGGAACGCATAGACGAGGGGCTTGTGGTCCGTTTTCACAATGAACTCGCGGCCCTCGACTATGTGTTTAAAGTGTTTAATACCTGAGAAGATGGCGAGTAGTTCACGGTCATACGTGCTATAACGCCGCTCAGTGGGGCTCAGCTTCCTGGAGAAAAAACTCAGCGGTTGCCAGATGTTGTCGACGAGTTGCTCCAGGGCAGCGCCGATGGCAGAATCGGAGGCGTCTGTGGAGAGAGACAGGGGGGCTGATGGTGACAGGAAGGAGGCTCTGGTGGCCTCGGCTACGCTCTGTTTATATTTCTCCAGAGCTGCTTCCGAGTCTGAGGTCCAAGGCACTTTGCGCTTGTCCTTCTTTTTGGCCTGCTTCAGGTGCTCGTTCAGGGGGGCCTGGATGGCTGTGGCTTGGGGAATGCAGCGGCGATAGTAATTCACCATGTCGAGGAATCTCCGCAGGTCTTCAATGGTTTCTGGCTTGGGGTAGGTCAAGATTGCATCTACCTTGTTTGCTGGTGGACGGTAGCCGTACTTGCTGATGGTGTACCCCAGGCACTGGACGTCCTCCTGAGCGAATTGGCACTTGCTGGGGTTGATAGTCAAGTGGTTGTGGAGGAGCAGCTTGAGGATAGCTTCCACATGGAGTTGGTGTTGCTCAGGAGTGCTGGAGTAGATGATGATGTCATCAATGTAACAGGCAGCAAAGTTGCAGTCTCGCAGTAGGTTGTCCATGTGCCTTTGGAAAGTTTGTACAGCGTTGCACAATCCAGGTGGCATGCCGCAAAACTCGGAAAGACCGAAAGGGGTAGTCACAGCAGTCTTGGGTATGTCCTCTTCGGCGACTGGGATTTGGTGGTAGGCACGCACCAGGTCGAGGGTAGTGAAGATAGTGCTACCGTGACAGCGCTGGATTATATCCTCCGTGTGTGGAATCGGGTAGCGGTCAGGTGTCGTTTGTCGATTTAATTGTCTATAATTACCTGTTGCTCGCCATGCACCGTTCTTCTTGGCCACCATGTGTATTGGGATGGCCCATTGGCTGCTGGACGGCCTGATGACGCCGAACGGTAGGAGCAGGTCGAAATTCTCCTTGGCAGACTGGAGTTTCGCGCCAGCTAGACGATGGGGGCGCTCGGCTACTGGTGGACCTGTCGTGGGGATGTGCTACTGGGTTGCTGCGATTGATGGTGGGAATCGGTGCAGGCTTGGTAACCTCAATGTATTTCTGCAGTAGTTGCTTGTAAAATGGAGGCAATTGCAGGTCCTTGTTGACTGGGGAGACATTAAAGATCGATGTCTTGAGCAAGGTGCCGGCTACACTGAGGTTGGAGACCTTGTCTACCAGGTGGTGGCCTTGGAGGTCAACGAGCAGGCCGTAGTAGGCCAGCAGGTCTGCACCGATGATGGCTGTCCTCACATTGGCAATGATGAAGGACCACTTCAGGGCACGACGGAGACCGAGGTTGAGGGTGAGCACTCGCTGTCCGTACGTGTGAATGGTGGTACCGTTGGCTGCATATAGCTGGAAATCTGCAGGTTTCTCGTTGAGCAGCTGCTTCTCTCGTGGAATTATGGATATGACTGATCCGGAATCCACGAGGAATTTGATGTTAGAGGTAGAGTGGGTGAAAAATAGGTGGTGTTCCTTAATGTCCGGGTCATTGTTGTTGAGGTCGCTGTCGCCTACCGCCATGACTGACGACAGCGGTTTTAGTTTCCCTGGTGAGATGACTGGGCAAAGGCAGATAACACGTAGTCGCAGGGCTTGTGACAATTGCGTACCTGATCTCCAAACCTTGCGTGATACGTGCACATACCTCCTGGGGGTGGTGAATTGGGGTGAGGCGTAGGGGTATGACGTGACCTGGACCTGCCTCTACTGACTGCATAACTCAGCCGTTCGATGGACTTGGCCATATTCTGGTTTAAGGTGATCAGCTGGTTCATCGCTTGTCTGAGCTCAGTGAGTTCCAAGGCAGCTGAGCTGGTGTGTTGTTGGGTGTTTAACCTCACGTGTCTTGAAGCAACCATGACGGATGCTTTTGAGAACTCCAACAGGTCATCAGCGGCGACAGCAAGGTCCTTCAGCGGCAATGTTTTCGTGATTTTCAGGATCCTCCTCATGTCGGAAGGCAGCAGCGCGAGCCATTTGACTCGTAATGTGTCCTCTGTGGCCCTATTGCCTGCCAGCAACTGCAGTTGACGAAGTAGTTGCGAAGGCTTCTGACTCCCCAGCTGTACTTCTGACAGGGCTTTTTCCAGCTGTCGGTCAGGAGAGTCGGTAATTCGTTTCAGAAGCTCTTGTTTAATAAACTTGTACTTATCTGCTGTTGGAGGATTTTTCAGGATGTCAGGAATCTCCTGCAGGACGTCTGGGCTGAGATGACTGACCACGAGGTGAAATTTGTCGACGTCGTCCGTGACACGGTAGGCCTCGAAGACGGAATCGGCCTGGTAAAACCAGAGTTGTGGCTAGCTTTTGCTGAAGACAGGCAATTTGAAGCGGTACCCGCGTGGTGCTTCGACGTTGACCACTTGTGTCGAACAGTCAGGTTCGTTGTTGTTCTCAGTGTTGATGTCGAGGTCGATCAGGGAATCGGTGAGGCCTGGTCTCTATCCGAAGCCCAGTGGACTCCGGTGTCTCGCTGAATCTCGAGGAAGTCGAGGCGTGCTGTACATGTCGCCTTTGTGTCCTGTGCTCCGAGGTGAAGGGTGACGCAATCTGCGAGAATCACGTCGGGGTCACCAATTTTGTGGGTTTTGGATGATGATTCGTGCGGGAAATCGAGTCAGGATAACGTAATGCCTAATATTTATTAATTAACCACAAATAGTATTTATTATAAACTTCGAATACAAAAGAGACGCTTTGGCCATAGCTGTGGCGCGTTAACGTGCTGGTGATAATACTGAATTTCTAGTGCGCGACAACTCGGTCGTCGTCGCGCCTAGGGATAAGTTGTTGCTTGCGCTGGCGGCGCTGTTGGGGTCCCGTCGGTACAGCAGTCGGCGGGCTCACTGGTGGTAATGGCGGGAACGCCACAGGGGAGCGAAGACACACACCTCCGACACATCAAGAACCACTTTCCCGCACTCGTATCAAAATACACTATATTTATTAACAGCATCTAGATTTGAATATCCATTCCAATAATTGAATATGAATTCCGCAATTTTGTTTGACGATATTAGACTTTTCATTAAAGATTTCAATAATGTTTTTTTTTCTTCGCTTCCATTGTAAAGACTTAATAAATTAAGAAGTAATTAAGAATGAAACCAAATTCACAATTATGATAAGACCGGCGACTAATAGCATGTTTTTTTTCTTCACTTTTTTCAGATTAAGGGTCACAAGGTTCAGAATAAGGATCATGGGGGTCATATGGGTGTTGGCCAGCGGAGCGATCAGGGGGTGTAGCCCTAGTATAATGTTATATTCTCTCCGTGAAGTCTTGATGATTTTAATCATCTGAAGTCTAAAAATTTTCTAGATATTGTTCAATCTCTCTGGGTACAAAGTGAATTTTTTTCTGTTATTTTCAATTTGGATTCTTCGTAAGTATAAGCATAGCCTTTATAATTTTTTCAGAACAATTGTATATCCATAGAACTGTTTGAAGTAAAATTTTTTAAAGCGTTATTTATCTTTAAAAAAATAAAATTCGATGATGCATATTACTTTGCCATTTTGAAAATCTTTATGAACGTTGAAGAAAATCAATTTTTTGTGAGTTATAAGTAATATAGGTCTTTGGATATACTCACACTAGGTATATTATCGTTGTTGCAAACACCCTCCTGCAGCAGTCTGTCCCGTATCTCCCAAGCAAAAATCGAGGGACATTCACGCTTGTAATCTGCAATCTTATTCACCACCGGTGTCGTTGCAACTCGCGGTTTACTGCCTCCTATCGCCCTAGGTTTTATCGAGCCAGTCTCATAATATCTGAAAATTCAACATCAGTACAATTGAATGAACATAACCAGCAAAAATGAAGTGATATCTCACGTACATTGAAAAAAAATTGCTTTTGCCAAGTTTATTTACTTGCCACAGGTAAATGTATATAAATACCTGCATAAGACGTAAATTTTCTTGTAGTTAGTAAATATACTCGGCAAAACTAATTAGCATAATCAGTGTAGTGTTTTTCTCAGTGTAATCGTGTGTGGAAATGCTTATTTCAAAAACTTTTGTGATTATTTCCTTCATTTTTATTTTGATCAAGCAGACGTGACACCTTCCCATCAGTTTTGTTTTGATAATTCAACGGGCTATCGAACTGGCAGTTTCATAGTGACCTGCCAATTACTTTAATTCCTAATAGATACTGCATTAACATCGGCCAAAATCAAAATGCAGGATTAAATCCTCCAAAAAATCGGAAGAAAACTGTAAAGCATAAGGTGAATATTCCATTCTAATTCCAAAGAAAAATGGTATTTCGGAGGCTTCAGCAAAAAAGTGCTGTCTAAAATATAGATTATTCTATGGTTGCACGTTGTACACATGGTTTGCACGTTATTTTCATAATACTGTTTCTATAATATATTTTTTGTCTTTGAATAATAAGCTTACTCCGTTACGACAAAATCTGAATCACTCAGATCAGGAACCGACTAAATGTTTCCATTAGGAATGTCATATTCTCAAACTACACTGCAAAGCGGAAAATTCCCATAAAAATCTACGGAAATATCTCAGGAAAAATGATTGAACCTCTCGCGAAATCAGGGACATTTCTTACTGATGTATACCATCTAATCAAGTTTTTGACGCGATTGTAAGTTGTAAGTTACAATAGTGCATCACACACACGGCGAGAAAAATATTAGAATTTTTTAAGTGAAACTCTGAGAAAAATTTGGTTACAGTCCCACAATTGAGGCACAAAATCTCAATAGTCATAAAAAATATGCATCATTGAAAAATTCTACAATACATAAAAATTTCTGAAGGAGTACTTGAACATTTGCTACACTAATACAGAAAATGGTGTTATCGAAATTTTCAATAAATTTTGGAAAATAGAAGAGATTATTGGGTGATCGGAAGACGTCCTACAGGGGACGATTTTGCAATGACGTATTTTTTCGACCAAAAGAACGTTTTTCCACAACTTTTTGGTCCCGGAGAGGGGGGAGGCGAGGAGGTGCCTACAGCTAAAATATTGAAATAAATGTAGAAAAATAGAAGAGGTTCGAAAGTTGGACTAAGAAGTATGAATTAGCAATAACGTAATTTTTTGGAACAAGAACAAGGTTTTCCTCAATTTTTTGATGCCATGGACGTAAAGAACGCGAGCATAGGGGAGAAAGTTTTAGTCATTCTATAGAAGGTTCAGGAAATTCTCCAGAAGGTTCTAGAAATTTCGGAGACTTCGGGAAATTTCCAAAAATTTCTAGAACCTTCTATGCTGTATCCTCTTTTACGCGACTTGGCATAATAATTATCACTGACCAGGTGAATACTCCCTCCAGTTTCAGTATGTAAACGTTGCGCACCATACCTACTATCCATTTCAGAAGTGTAGTCCACGAAATTTGGGGTTTTGTATCTTTGAGAAAAAAAATCGCATGGGTATGGGACCAATTTCATTCTCTACAGTGACTATTACCTTCATCCAATACGGAGTTTCAGTTTTTTTCATGCAATAGTACCCGCGTAATCATGATTGGAAGATGAAAAAACCTACGTTTTCCGTGTGCCGCGAGAATAGAGGAACTTTAAACGCGTCCCAGAACCGCAATTTTTTTCAAAAAAATTTCCAAATTTTGTATATGATAGCTCAAACATTCAAGAAGTGAATTGTGAAACAAAATCATTTTTCCAGTAATAATTTGTTTTTTTAATAAAAATATCTCATGCCGCTATCTTCAATCGGAAATATCAAATCGCAATGAAAAAAATATCCTCCGATGTAAAATCAAAAACAAAATGCATCCTGATTATTTGTCAACGTGAAAAATATTCCAAATATTTTATAAAAATTATTGAACTTTGCGTTTTCACGCTGACCGTAGGTCGTTATAACTTTGGGGTTTGATTACCTCTCGGACCCTTGGAATTACTTCCACGTGCGCACTCAACCTCTCCCACGGACGGGTTGCTCTCACTTGGATACGTTTTAGGTCCCGCAGGGGCTCCAGCACAGGTGCGGGATTCCCAGCTTGAAAAATGGGGTCAAGCTTGGTTCAATCTAGGATACCAAGCCTTAGAATTCCTAGCTTTAACCACGCTTGAACCTGTCTTAATACTTAGGTAAAACCAAGCTTGGTGATCCCCTGTGAATTGAAGCTTGGGTACCAAGGTAGTTCCAATCATGGTTCAAGCTTGGGTTTCCGAGCTTGAACTGATAGGCTTCAACCAAGCTTGGCCCAATATGTTATAGCTAGGTAAGTCCAAGGTTGCCGACATTTCGAAAGTTCAAGCTGTACTGGCAAGGTTGTGCCAATCATGGTCCAAGCTTGGTATTTCGAGCTTGAACTTAGGGGCTTTAACCAAGCTCGGCCCAATATGTTATAATTAGGTAAGTCCAAGGTTGCCGATTTAAAGAAAGTTCAAGCTGTATTGGCAAGGTTGTACCAATCATGGTTCAAGCTTGGTAGTTCGAGCTTGAACTTAGGGGCTTTACCAAGCTTGGCTCAATATGTTATTTCTAGGTAAGTCCAAGGTTACCGATTTTAAGAAGGTTCAAGCTGTATTGGCAAGGTTGTACCAATCATGGCCGAAGCTTGGTATTTCGAGCTTGAACTTAGGGGCTTTAACCGAGCTCGACCCAATATGTTATAGCTAAGTAAGTCCAAGTCTACCGATTTTAAGAAAGTTCAAGCTGTATTGGCAAGGTTGTAACAATCATGGTCCAAGCTTAGTATTTCGAGCTTGAACTGGGGGGTTTAACCGAGCTTGGGCCAATCTGTGATAGCTAGGTAAGTCCAAGGTTGTTGATTTTATGCAATTTTATTCAAACAAAAATGTATGTTGGTCAGTGTTGAGAACCGAAATTATGCAATCTCTTTGCTGCATGATTAAATTCATTTTTCAACAAGTGTGAGAATAATCCAAATTTTATAATTCAGTAGCCTCTGTTATATTTTGTTATGTAATTCAATACAGGAGAATAATGAAGAAAAGATGAATTGTAATGAATATAGAAGTAAAATAGGAGAAATGTACAGTTGAATAAATTGTCTCAACAGTGGTCAATAATTTCTCTAGCTGCAAAAACCGTTTTTTCAACTCTACATCCTAAAATTATTGCTTTATTAAATGAAAATTTATAAACCACAACATCATTTTTATCCCTGACGAAGATCCAGAGGGAGAGGTATATGCTTTTGGCAGGAGGAAACCCTCCTCAAACTCCTGCATTCCGATGAAATTATATAAAAAACCAGTGTAAAAAATCATTCTTTGGATTTGGAATGAAGGAAACACTTCAAGGATTCATACTGCGGACCCCGTTTCTTGACTAATTACCCCGTTGTTTTAAAAAATGCATGAAAATGAATGATTTGTGCGACTGAAATAGATCAAGTCCGACTTTCCTAGCGATCAAAAATGGAAATAGACTATTGGAATAGTCTATGGAAATAGACCATACTGAAATATCGTTCATAGTATTCCGCGCGCGAAAGATTCAAAATGACGATAATGACCTTGAGAGTAATCGAAGAATTGATTCATTTTAAAAAGAGTAAAAAACCGAAGACTCAAGAATTGAAAATAACAAACCCCTGACGAAAAAGTTGTCAATTGACTGATTTCAAAACTGAAAATCCAACGAACAGAAAAACTAGAAAGCTGAAAAACTGGAAATTGAAACCCCGAATGAAAAAGTTATCCTTGAATAGTTAATAAACAAAAAAGAAAAAAGTCAAAATTGAAATTAGAAGAATTATAAACAAACTGCAATTTTTTGGAACAGAAGAAACAGAAAAAGTCGGGGAACACAAAATTTTCATCACTCCATGTGTCCCCCCACCTCTTTTCTGCTGTTTCTTCTGTTCCAAAAAATTGCAGTTTCTCCAAAATTCTTCTAATTGAAACTTAGAGTTTTTATTTTCCTGTTTTTTGCCTATTTAAGAATAACTCTTTCGTCGGGGGTTCTACCACTGATCCTTCAGAGCTCTATTTGGTTACATGCGCAGATTTCCAGAGAATGATCTTCGAGTTTGTTCGATCATACTAATGGGATGGTTGATTGATTGATTGATTGATTTTATTGCTGTACATTATGTTGTACACAATTATGGTGGCAGAACCACACTAGCTGGTATACAGTAAATCGCAGTGAAATCACAGAGTAAACAATACATGCTAATAATAATTGATGCATAAAAAGCAGAGTAAGATGAGAAGGAGCAATATGCAACGGAAAAAGCAAGCTTCGGCAGGTCCTAAACAAACGGGTGAATAGCAAGTGCGAAAAGGTAACGATGACAGAGGGAAGAGTGTAGGAATAAGAAGGGATAGGAAGACTGGGGCAGCAGGGGAAGGGAAAGTGATAAGAGGAGAGCAAATGGTAGGAAAGGCATTAAGAGTTGTCCCTCAGATAATTCCGCACAGCTAATCGGGAAGACGACAGTGTGGGAAGGTCCCGCACTGCAGAGGGAATTGAGTTCCATAAATAAGCCGCAGACACGTGGAAGGAAGANTGAAAACCCGTCTGAAGGGAGTCCAGAATAAAGCGCTCAGCAAGGAAGCCGGAGATTTGCTGGGAAGCAAGTTTCTTCAGCACCTTGGAGAGGAAACAGAGCAAGGCAATCGGCCTGAAGTCATTAGGTGACACAGGGTTTTTCACCTTGCCAAGCGCAACAATAAGGGACCTCCTCCATTCAGAGGGAAAGCAGGACCGAGCGAAACAGATGTTAAAGAGCATCACTAGATAAGGTGTTAGAATTGGCAGGGCAGCCACAACCACCGACCTGGGAACCATTAGTCCC